GCCGCCGCCTCGCGCGCCCCCCGGCGGCCCAACGGCCCCGTTGCCCGCGAGCCGCGGGAGGCACCGCCGGGCTCGCAGCGCTGCAGCCGGTCAGGCCGCGTGCGAGCGGCGGCGAGCGGAGCGCCTGGCAGCCCGACCGGCTGCGCCCTGGCCGGAGCCGCCTGCCCTGCCCTTCCTGCGGCGCTGCGCTTGCGGCTCCCTCGCGGGAAACTGCCTTCCTCCGCTATAATTCATTACCTGTGTCTCTAAAACTGACAGAAAACCTAAACATCAACTGAAATCCTGCTGCTCTGAGGGATATACAGGCAGAGCCAAATGCTCATCCYTCTGTCTTAAAAACTTCCATTAATGGAAGCACTGAGACATCTGAAATACTCTGTGTGGTTAATCTTCAGTTAAAGTTGGATCTGCTCGTTTATAATTTGCGTGGTTTTGGATAGGAAATATCTTGATGTTGTGTGAGATGTTTGAATGCCTTTGCTTCATCTTGAAATGTTAATTTAAAGTTGCCCATGATCCAGATTGTGCTTGAGTACACCTGTGCCTATGTTTGATTCCTCAGGTGTACTGAAGTTACTTGGCTCCAAATAAGCTCCTTCTCGTTTACAGTAGGGTGGCAGAAAGAAAAGCAAAACAAGGGGTTTGTTTGGTTTTAATACCTTTTGAGGGCTTTTCTGCTTCTGTTCTTACTCCTGGTCAAGCAGTAAATGATCTGCTGCAATCAGAAGCTGCTACGTTTTATTCTYATCAAGTTTCTAGAAAATCTCTTCTTACTCGCTCTTGACCTGTRTGTTACAATGGTGAGGCAGAAATCTATCCCACTTCAGTTAAATAATTTGATGCTCTGTAGATTTGGAGGAAAGCAGGGGGATTTGGGTAGTGGTCCTAATATCTTACGCCTTCTGGATGCCTTCACAATATTAATATTTTGTTATTTAATTAATTGATTCAAGCTCACAATCAGATAAATTCAGATTAGAATGAGTGCAGTTCAAGCCATGAAAACCTTTTAATTTGAACTGCTGCAGTCTGTGCTGAAAAATGAGTGTTGTTAGCCCCCCCCCGCTTCTGTTAACTGATTGAGACCATATTTACTCTGCCACCCTCCCCAAATGCTTTTATAAGGTACAGTGTGCATTATAAGGTCTTCCTAAGAAGACCTTATACAGGCACATAGAGCCACTAGGGAGCATCTTGCATTTTGGGGAAGACACTCTGTCCTTGTTGCCCTGCATGACTGATGCAGCGCAGGTGAAACCCTTGTATAACACTTCTTAATCAGCCTGTAGTGCTGTTAACTTTTGTRTTTAAAATTGTTATTTCCAGCTTGTTGAAATTGCTAGCTTGGGAGGCCTTGTGTGGGGGCTGTTGCTTTGGAATAATATATAAAAATCAAGCCATAGTACAAGAGGTGGGATGTTAAGCTCATGATCAGTTGTAGTAACTTGTATGTGCCGTAAGTGTGTAGTCTCAAAAATATATGGAAAGACATATCCCACCTCTGGAACAAATTGGGTTTGTCTTCCTAAATACTGACTCCCATCTGATGGGGACCTGGCAGCATTTGCCTCTCAGTTGTTCCTCATTTGCTGGGAAGGGAAAAGTAAAGGGGTAAATAGTGCATGTAAGTAGATGCAAATTGGTCAACTTTACTTTGTAGTTGTTTACTCAAGTCTCTGAAATATGCAGCACAAGACCAAGTGTTCTGGTATAATTAACGTTCAAAGCTTTTCTCATTTGTTTGTGTTTATGAACTTAGTTGTCTCTTCTTCAGAGAAAATCTGCCATCTGGAGAAAATGWAGTAGTACTCACAAATGCTGCAAATTAGTTGTTTTGTCTTGTGGAACAGCACAACAACATGCTGATATTCACTGAGTGCTGTTTAAAGAAGAAATAAGAGGATTGTCTTTATTACTGGAAATAACTTGAGTATTGCCCTAAGTAATGTTCTGCTGTTCAGTGTTTCTATTTCTTGAAGTGCTTTTTGTGTTACCTGAAACAAAAGAGCTAGTGTGTGAGTTTTCTGACTGAAGAGTTTCCTAGCTTATAATTTTTGGCAACTTGTTAGTGATCCTGAAATAAAAACTGGCTTAGGTGGAAGTAAGAACTAGTGCTAATCTTTATTTATTCTTTTCTTGTAATATTCTGTTGTAATATTCTGTGAGGCATTATACCAAAGAAGGGGAGGCATTCATGATATTCTAGCCTTACCTCCAATTTACAAGAAGAGTAAGTTTCACTATACAAATACAGTTATCTATACTTAAACATATTAGAAGTTCTAATTAAGATTTCCCAAAGTTAGTTGGCACTGCTGCTAAAAGGAATTGATCTATTCAGTTTTACTGAAAAGAGCTTTTTTTTGTTTTGTTTAAAATAGCAACAACCTCTTTAAGATATTAGGCCTTGATAGGAGTGAGCTTGCATGCATGTATGTGTACAGTTATAAAACTGTCAGAGGTTAATTTTATTGCTCTTGACTCAGATTCTAGTAGTCCATTGCTGTTGATAGCAAACAGCTTCAGCTATTTTATTTCTCAAACTTGTGTACATCCTATTTTCCATGGTACACAGTGCGTATCAACAAGCCTTTTGCTTCCTTTTTGGCAATGTTTCAGGCACTAGGGAAGCCAGCGTAAGCTAGCGGATAACAGAGGCTGTACTGTTCACCAGTAGAATAGAAATGCATTCTGCTTTTCATCAACAGAAGGTATTGTACATGCTTCTGAGATGAGCTCGCTGTGTGAACTGCAGTATCTCTGAGGAAACTGCATCCTGTCAGATTGCAGGCTCATGCAGCGGTGCATGTGCCCCCCTGCACACTGACCGCGCGCAGGCGAGTGCAGAGTGAGGGATGGAGCAAGCCTTTTATAACCTGTGCGTGGGATGTGGAGACTGAAATGTATGGCACTCTTCGCAGTGGCAGACCATAGATACCAACATACAGGACAATGTAGGCCAGTTACTGCTTTGATCCTCCTTAAAATCGTCTGCTGCGTGTATGTCACCAAATTTTATGGAAGGTTCCAAAAAACGTTACTGGTAACAACAAATTGAAAAACTAATTTTCTATTTTGTTAAGTTAGGCCTAGGTATTTAAGGTTTTTTTCTGCCTTTTAAGAAGGGTTATAGACAAATTCAGTTCTTGAGTTTGGCTTTCTGGGAAGGAGTATTGAAAAAAAAGAGTAAGAGAAGTTTATACAACTGCTGGGGGAAGTTTATCAATTGGGTGCTATGATTCTATAAATGAACAAGTGTTTTTCTCACTAAAGGCAAAAATATTTTCCCTTGCACAAATGCTGCTAGTGAATGCTTTCCTTGGTTTCAGAGGCCTTTGATAACTGTTATTAACATATTGATCAAGAATTTTATCTTACTACCATTTCATTTTAATTCTGATTTACATTAGAATGATTTAGTTTTGATGCCTGTGTATTCAGTGAGTAGCAAAATGCTACTGTTGTGAAAGAGCAAGAGCTATTAAATATTCATAGATTGCACTCAATTAATCAGACTCTGAAGCCCCTGTTGCTTTGTCACAATAGCTCTTCATAACACTAAAGAAACTGATATGAAGACTTGCTTGTTTTCAGATTGTTAGCCAATTGTGCATATGTAAGATATTCTTCTACTTGTTTATGTTAGTACCTTTTAAAACATGGGGGAAAGCCTTATGTGGTGAGTGCTTACATAATGTAGTTCATTAAAACCAGTGCTTCCTGCTTAAATTTTAATTGTGTAATACTTGCTTCTACATTAGCAAGTCATTAGCAAGGTCCACTTGTTTATGATTTATTTGAACATCTATGTTTTTCTTGTCCTGTTTCTTCATTTTGTGCATGAACTTGCTGCTGTCCATCCTAAGTAAACTTTTTCTCTCTCACTGTGTAATACTTTCCTCTGCTTCAGCCCCTGCACATCTATAGCTGATGTTCCCCTCCAGTCTTTTGTTATAGCTATATGGCTGCTATTTGTCAGCTTCTGCCTTCCAGGGCCATATTAATTAGTCTTAACTTCAGAGAGTTAAGGAAAACTATACTATGAAGCATATGAGAGTCTCTTCCTAATGTCAGCTAAAGTTTTCCTACGCCTTTCTCTTTAGCTTCTAGATGTTGCTCACTGTCAGAACAGACAGACCAGGTTACCAGATTCACCATGACTCCTCCTGTATTCYCTCTTTCTCTCTTTTTTGTCTTCCCCTTCAAGTAAAAAACTTACTTTAAAATGTCACTTTATTTTCAGTTGCCCTGATTTTTTCTTTCAACCTTTGAATAACTCTCCCTTACTCTTCACTATTGGGAAAATGCCCTGGTACTGCTAGCAGATCTAAGTGCATGCTGTGTGTCGTATTTGCTTAACTTTGCATGAAGAGGAGAATTATTAATTGTGCCCACTATAGTGCCATGAGCAATAATGTTTGTAACTTGCAGCAGGGGATGGATTTCAGAGTAGAAAGAAAGCACAGGAGCAAAGTCCT